AGTGTGAGTTCAATACCCGGTTAAGGCAGTGGAGAACTTTCAGAGGGAAATTAGCAGGAGATAACTGATAACTGATATCCATCAAACATGGCACGTGGACTAGAACAGTCTACCCCAGTTAGCGAAATAAAGGGTTCAGTTCGAAATTCCAACCACCTGAAGAAGGCCGGAGCGTACAACGGCCGAAACATTGTGATAAATATGGCAGCAAAGATGAGGACAATAGAATAATGTAAATAATGGACTTTAAAACTATTTAGATGATTATTTGAAGTCAAAAGATTTTAAGGAGATAAATGTCAATAAGAAAATGTAGCTATGAAAAGGTTGAATATTTTAAATGTATGTGAAACTGGATGGGCAAACAATGGAGAGTGTGCCAGTGACAAACACAGGATCATATATGAAGGCAGGGAGAAAAATCAAAGAGGAGTAGGATTGATATTAGATCAAGACATAAAGAAATGCGTTCTGGGATGCTGTCAATTATCTGAAAGAATTTTTGTTATTAATCTAAAAGGAAAGGCTTTCAACGTATCCATCATAGTTGTGTATATACCAACAAACTACAGAAGAAGAAATGAAAAAGTTCTACGCTACGCTAGACAGGGCTCAATGCAATTGTCATGGGAGACCTGAATGCCAAAAGAGGCAACAAGAGAGATGGTAAAATAGTTTGTAAATTCAGAGTAATGAACGTGTAGAAAAATGGGTCCAATGATGTATGGCGAATGACCAGGTAGTAGCTATCACCTGGTTTAAAGAACACCCAAGCCGTATATGGACATGGAGAAATCCAGGAGGAGAAGCCGAAAAAAAAAATCCCGCACAATGAAACAAACAAATTAACTTTATAAATATCAATCGGAGATTCAGGAATGCAACTGTAAAACATATCCGTGGAAGTGATCAGCTTTCAGTGATATGTAATCTTAGAGTGAAACTGCGCAAATTGAAGAGGGCAGAACGAAAATTGCAATACGAGAGACTCTTGAACGACCCAAATCCGAATGAGAAATATATGAAGAGTATGAAAAGCAGATATAGGGACAAAAAGAAAATGGAGAATCAAAGTGGGGCACATTCAGAGAAGCTTTAATAGCATCAGCAATCGAGATCATCTCAAAGGAAAATAGACGAAGAAAAAATAATGATTGGATAACAGTTAAAATTCTCAACATGATGAAAAGGAGACAAAAACTATGTCAAGACACGGAACAGAATACAGGATACTACATAAAACAACAAGGAACAAATGCAAGCGGCCTAAAGAGGAATGAATCAACGAAAAATGGGCAGAAATAGAATGAGTATGACAGATAAAGCAGACATACATAAGACAATGAGGGAACTAACTTGAAAAAAGACATGGTCATCAACAGGGTGCATAAAATCCAAGGATAGAACAATGATGTTCAAGAAGGAAAAATACTTGCGAAATGGAACAAATATATCGGAGAAATCGTCCACGACGAAAGAGAATAACTAGTAATACACAGAAATATCGACGGACCGGAAATATTAAAATCTGAAGTGGTATATTCACAGGTCAAATTGAACAGAAACAACGCGACAGAGCCAGGTGGAACAGATGAATTTGATATAGACATGATTACAGAAATAATAAACTAAATCTACAACAGCGGTGATATACCGGAAGGCTAAGAAGCCAGGTGTAAACGAATGTGAACTCCATCGGACAATCACCCTAATGAGCCATATAACAAAACTTATCATCTGATGAATAGGTCGCACAGCAGAATCACACCGGAAATAAGACGAGAACAGTGCGGGTTCGTCAAAGGCACGGAAACAAGTAACGCAATATTTATCCTCAAAATTTTATCAGAAAGAGAAATACAAATGCAGAATCACGTACATTTATGTTTTATAAATTACTCAAAGGCATTCGATAAAGATCTGTTGGAACTGCCCAGGGAGTGTCTCCTCACCGGATCTATTTAACCTAAACAGTGAGGTGATTCAGAGAGAATTAGAAATCCTGTCAGGACTCAATATTGTCTGCAACATAAGATATGCAGATGATACAGTGTTGATAAAGAAAAAAAAAACACCAAAAAACTACAAAGAAGATAGTGAAGGAAAGCGAGAAGAAAGGATTAGAAAATTTCTACAGAATCCATGGTTGTTAGCAAAACGATGAAACCAAAATGAAAATTAGAAGTTGAGAATACCAAAGTCAAACAAGTACAAAAATTTAAATTTCTGGGAAGTGATTTAACTGATGACGGAAAGTGCGACACTGAAATCCGAAGGCCAAAGTTTCATTTCAAAAACTAAGCAAAGTATTAAAAAACAGGAAAATTTCGATTGAAACAAAGAAAAGAGTACGGAAATGTTACGTAATATTAGTTCTCTTATTCTGAGTTTAGGAGAAATAGCAAAAAAACACAATTTATTAAGAGCTATAAATAACGGGGAATTGTGGAGAGCTATGATCGCTAACGTCCTGAGAGGACACAACATTTAAAGAAGAACCTGCTTATAAACTATTATTAATGAAGCAACTTAATATATATTAGAAACTTGAATTAATTTAGTTCAGCACATGGCTAAATTGCGATGATTTGGGGTCGACATGTTGCATTAAGCCAATCTGCTCAGTTGTAAGATTCTAATTCAAAATCCTACCTACTACTTGGGATTGAATGCTAATCACTGATGACCATGGTGAATATAAATTTCTTTTAAACATAAAACTTGTATATTTGCAAAGTATGTTAGAAACGATTTTTAGCAGCTGATGCTAGTGGAATCCTTAGAGACTTAAGACTATATCCAGCAAATTAAATGCGAATAAATGTCTCAATAAATGTTAAGATAAATCCAGTACAAAAATGACCCAAATGTGTTTACGTAAACACTAATCAATATTTTCGAAGAGGTCCTTTCTTAGAAATTACTGAGAGTTATTTTGTTTATTCGGGTGAAGCTTGATTTGAAGCTATTACGAAATTCTAATGATTCTTGAATGATTTCATCTTGCATGATTTCCTCCTGTTTTGATAAAGTGTTCCTTTCGTGTGGACATCGAGCTTTTCAAATCATCACTTGTCGAATAAGATAGAACATTAAATTTGATTCTTGTATCTGAGTAGAAATGAAGTGATGTCGGTATTTCTAGATGTATAGGTCGCCATACTCTTGCGTATGAGAGTTTTTATGTTCATAACTTTTCTTTACAGTTTGTGTAACAAAAGGTAAGAATAAGTGTAGAACAGTAAGTGAGTAAAGTATAACAATTGCATATTTATAATAGTGAATAAAAAAATATTTATTCGATATATTTTATACGTATGCATGTGTATATATGTGTGCGTGAGGGGGTTACTAAATGGCCAAATGGAAAACGTCTTACATCATGCTTTTCGTCCTTCAAAAGTTTGTTTTCACTGGAGTATATATATATATATATATATATGCATCAAAATTTGAGACTCATATACAGGCATATATATATATATATATATATATATATATATATATATATATATATATATATATATATATTTTTGAAACTGTTCCTATATTTTTCGTTTATCTTTCACTTTTATTTCTAAATCCGAACCGACTTAAGACGCTTGTTGAATCCGTTAAATCAATCGATCATTTTATCTAATCAAGTTTTAATTGCTTATTTTGAATGATTTATGATTTAGAAAGGTGATATGTAATTAGTGTAAATAAAAGTGTAATCAGAAGTCTATAAGGTAAATATTGTTGTTTGTGTATTAAAAATACCGAGAAAAGAAATTTCCATTGGTCAGCTATTGTATCATGTATTAAACGCAAAGCAAGTGAACACAACACTGAAATAGCATGAAAAAGAAAACGAAGGAAAACCAGAATTCATATAAAAGTAATAAAAATAAAGAAGATATTTTTGTTTTTAATGAAGTCGAATCTGAAAGATTTGTTTAAAATAATATAAGTTGCAACGATTCATCTTTCTCTTCCTATGATTCTCTACAAAATGTCTTCTTTTTACTCATAATTCATCTCTATGACAGAATGGTCTTTAAGTAAATAAATATATATCCTATAATCATAAGATGAATGCTTTAGGATAATGGCGTTTTGTGATATAATATCTTTCATGAATATACACTGTATGTACTAGACATTGATTTTGTATTAGTAAATCGTAATGAATGTTAGAATGGAAGTGTAAAAAAAGGAAGACAGATCTGATATTCGGTTTTGACAAAAAATAACTAATCATAATTTCTGTTTGCTTTCAGCTAAGATTTTTGGATGTGTTTTTTATATTAAACACAATGGTTTCTATGAAGTTTATGCATGGATTAAGCTCCCAAAGGTAAAAATGTAATAAGGATTTTCTTATATCTTCTGAGAACAATAAGAATTATAAACTTGTTCTTATGAATAGAAAGAATGATAAACCGTAGTTTCAGAAAGGTCGAAACTTTTAGGACAATTCAATTAGAAAGGGATTCTTGACATAATTTTCATTCTGAGGAGAATGGAAAGATATTTAATTAGAAATTTGAAGACACAACTTATTTGTTTGTTGCAAGGAACGCAGAATACAATTTATGTTTTGATTTCACGTACAAACATAAAACTGGAAGTTCAACCCAATGTCAAAACTTTCCTTTTGTATAAATAATAAAGAGATTCAGGGTAATATTTGCACACTTAATGTACAGGATATTTCGCATATTATGTATAAATTATAGTAAACTACATATCACTCATATTTTATAGCAAGTGTTTTATGAATTTTAACGTTTTTTTCAGCTTTCATGTTACTAAAAAATAAAAATTAAAAATAAAAAAAAAGAAAAAGAAAAAACATATAGAAAAAAATTCATTATTGTCGAATATTAAAATTTTCTATATTTAAAGGGGAAATATCGGAAAAGTGCATTTATAGACAGTGTGGACATTGGAATGAACACTGCATGGTGACTTTCAGTTTCACTGAAGATAGCAATGAAGCATGAAAGTAAATCAACATGCAGTTTTGCTTCTTATATCCATACATTATCTATCTATCTATCTATCTATCTATCTATCTATCTATCTACCGGTGTTTGTATACGTGTGCAAGTTTATATATATATATATATATATATATATATATATATGAATTTACTATAATATATAATTAATTTCATTTTTTTTTAGGATCTCTGGAGGATATATTAGTATTTATTATTTTTAAAGGATATTTTGTCCTGTTTATAATTAGAATGTATTTGATTGCGATATAAAAGATTAATATGTTTAAGATTAATTGAAAAGTATTATATTCTCATCAACGTATTGCAGAAAACCAACATTGTATAAAAATTTAAATGTCTCATGGGAGATTGTATCTCCAACAGAAAAAAATAATATATATGTTGGCCATGCCACTACTACGTTGTCTCAAATGTTGACTTTTCATTTGAATGATGCATCTAACATTTCTCAACATTTACAAAAGCATGCATGTCCACATTCGCAATTTAGGAAAATTCTTGTTGAAAATACATGTATACTTTTTCATGAAATAATAAACATAAACTAAAAATTTTTGAAGCTATCTATATTAAAAACTGAAACCAAACCTTAATAAAATTAATTATGAATACTTCATAAATGTTTTATAATGTTTACAGTAGATAGTTTAAATATTTAGCTTTTAACTAATAGTTTTAAATAGTTTTCTTTTTTAAAAATATTTAGACATTTCAATAACTTAGCTATATTCCTTGATTTTTGTATGGGTGTCTACATGATAAAATTTAAAAATTGTACGGTACATAAACTTAGCGTTTTTTAAAGTCACTTAAAAATTTAATTTTTCAGATGAACACAACAGAAAAATGTCTTAGAAAAATGATGAACACAACAATTTTTTATCTTAGGAAAAACAAGACCCTGATGGCATCATTGTGCTAATGTCGGAAGTACTCGGAATAAAATGAATATGATTCAACATGGCAATTTTCTTTTTTCTTTTAATTAGGATACTAAGAAACTTGTCCGTATCCTACTAAACATGAGTAGAGAAAACTTGGTTGGTTGGGTTTTATGGCATATCAACCACTGTAGGTCATTTAATGCCAAATCTATCTATCTATCTATCTATCTATCTATCTATCTATCTATCTATCTATCTATATATATATATATATATATATATATATATGTGTATATAAATAAAAAGAAAGAACGGTAAGATATATAATCCGGTGTTGTTATAGATATTTTTATTTTTACAAAATAGTGCTCAATGTAAATTTACAGAGCATTAATATTATAAATTAATTGATTTAAATATGTTTTTTTCCACGGAAAAAAAATATATTTTAAATCAATTAATTTATATTATATATATATATATATATATATATATATATATATATATATATATATATATATATATAGTAATTATTAAACGTATAGCCAGTAACATTATTTTTTCAAAAACGTAGCTGGCAACAACATTTCTTTCAAAACGTACAGCTGGCAATACCACCCTTCCAAAAATGTATAGCTGGCAACACCATTTTTTTTCAAAAAAGCATAGCTGGCAACATTATTTTTTCAAAAACATTATCAGAGGCCTTGCTGTTGGACATAGTTTATCGTCATACCCAGGACGCGGATGTAGTTTATCGTCATACCCAGGACGTTAGACAAAACTGAATTATTTAATGAAACATGTTTTAATGAAAACATGCTGCCAATATATATATATATATATATATATATATATATATATATATATATATATATATATATACACACACATATACACGCATATAGATATGTCTGTATGTTATATATATATATATATATATATATATATATATATATATATATATATATATAAAGTAAACAACTCAAAGGGAGTATGAGATCTTGAGGTACACCGAAGAAATTAAATGGCAAAGCATCGATATTTCTAAATTAATTTCCGGTGAACTGTGGCTGACGACTACTAGAAGTTTCATGCGTTTTCACGCAATCATATTTTCATTTGTATTTATACTCCCACGACAAGTACAAAAAGGGTAATTGATGTGTACATACTACGTGTTTGTATGTGTGTATGTATGTGCGTTTGTATGTATGTTTATGTGTGTGTGTGAAGTCGGGAGGATGAAAATCTTTGATTCGACCAAGATTCCATTTAAAAAATGTAAATTTTGCTCAATTGCTCAGGAAGTGTATCGGGCTGAGAACTTTTCGGTTTTTTATCTATCTATCTATCTATCTATCTATCTATCTATCTATCTATCTATCAAAGAACACTTTTGGGCAACGGTAAGTGAGCTCGTGACGCAGAGCATTCTTAGTTTAGGGAATTCCATCGTAAGTAAGTGCATTTCACTTGCGGCCTTATACAAAATACTGAGACATAATTATCTAATCATTTGTATAGATTAAATTTACGTATACACGTATACTCTTGTCTGTCTGTCTGTCTCTCTCTCTCTCTCTCTCTCTATATATATATATATATATATGAATGAAAGTATCATGCGTATATGATATCTGTAACTATATGGCATTTCATAGTTATTTGAGCCCAAGTATTTTCAATTAGGTAAAGCACAAAGCAAATATTGTAGCAATCTGGACGTGTCGGTCCCCGTTTACGTGTTTGTTAGCGCCGGAACGTTAGATCTTTGCTGTGATGAAAGCCTACACAAAGCTTAATTGTAGCTGACTGTGAAAAGAACTAAACTTCTTTGACATTAGCGAGTACTTATCGAAAGTTTGTGGACTGTTTCGTCGTTTTGTGTCATTTGCTTCTACTTGTTTATAAAGATTGCTGGGAAGGTGGTGACGAAATGAGACACTTGTTTGCTAAATTTTTGTGTATGTGTGTGAGAGAAATAGAGGGTAGATTATAGTACTGAGGAAGTTAAAATGGAAGAACTGAATTAATTTTTAGTATACCTGATTCTAGGATACGAAACAGTAACCCTGATTGTCCTCATCCTCACCCTTTATTAAGAAAAAGGATAACAAAGGCCACTTCATCAAAGGGACCTGCAACAGAGTGATTTAACTTATCTAGAGTTTTCGAAATTAAACGACGCCTTATCAGCAACAATCAGAGTAATGACACTTATTAGTCATATTAGTATTTGTATTATTAATCATATGTTTTCCAATCAGTAAGTAATCATTATTTGATAGGTTTCTTTTCAAAAGGATTAGTGAATGATGAAGGAAATGCGATTTATTGAAAATAATTACTAAGCCTAGTAGTGAAGAACTCATTAATCTTGTGTTAAGAATATCACAAGTGATTTTTTTCTTGGAAATGTCCCGTATTTCTATCATGTTTTACGAAAATCATCCTTGATATACACATAACAGAGATTTATATATACAAATCTAGTATAAGAATTGAACATTATCTGCATAAGGGAACATATTCGAACATTACTGATTAGGATTGCTCGTTATAAGTAAATTAGGACATTAAAAGTAACATTAGATGAAAGTAGAGCATGAAATCTAAGATGCACAGAAAAAAGTCATAGCAATTTTTACTGCATTTAGGCTAAAGCCGACAAGTAGAAAAAGCAGATGATAATCACAAAAGATTTTCATTTAAATGATTTTCATATTTATTACATACATTTTGAAATGTTTATCACAGACTTAAATATTCTTATATACACATACATATACATATACCCAGACACGTAAGTATATGAAGAGAGGAAGGAGAGAAAGGAATAGAGAATAGAGGGAGGGTTATTGTTAGTTTTTTTTTCTTTCGTTTTTTCTTATTGTGAATTGTTGACTAAGTATATAGACAACATGAACCCATATTAAAATCTTCCTCTTTATTTCTTACCATAATACTACTGTCTGCGTAATCTCAAAGAGCGATTCACACTGGCCCAATATTTACTACCGGGCATTAATTGGGTTGAAGTACGATGCCTCTGATCAGCGTAGCGTAAAATTACAAGTAGTTTTATATAGTACACAACAGCTGACCTGTGACGTCTCCAGTGGAGAAAGTCTGACTAGAGCACTGCAGGATCTATCACCTCGTGAATTCAATGGATCGCCTAACAACCTCATATTTCACATCACATCGGCTGAAAATCGCATTGAAAACCCAATATATTTAGAGATGCTCGTTGAAACAAATAAGAAAAGGGAAATTCCGATTTCTAAATCAAATATTGAAGATTTTCAATTCCTGGCCAATTCAGTATTATTTTCGTTAAGGAAGCTTCCTCGATTCTGAATTCAATACACTTTACTCAAATGTTTAGTACGAAAATAACAATTGTGAAATAGATAATGAGCAATTTTTGATCAACACTGGTGGATAGAGTGTAAAAAGTAAATGAAGACATATAAATTTCTGTTTCTATCTAAAATTCTTGTAACTTAATAAACTTTACCTATGAGAAAGAAAGCTTCTATCTATCTATCTATCTATCTATCTATCTATCTATCTATCTATCTATCTCAAGGTATGAACTTCTTTCTAAAGCAAAAGGATATTGATCCTTATCAATATGAACCTAGTGTCTGTTCGTTAATTTGTTGACATAGCAATTGTGAGTTTAAACTCTGGGAGAAGTATGGTGAGCAATAAATGAGTAGTACTAAAAAAATAACCCGTGAATAGTTGACCCCCCCCCCAAAAAAAAAACAAAAAACAAAAACAAAAACAAAACAATATACCTCTGGAGATTAAATAAAGGGTTCAGTTAAAAATTCCTTGAAGGTTATCCAGATCGGCATAAATCCGAAGAAGGCCAACATGGAAATAACAAAAGAGACAAGTACAATAGTCCGAATGCAAATAATGACAACTTCTCATTCCAGAAATTTAGATCGAAAGATGTGCAGAGATATTTTGATTAGTTTGTAATTTATTTTATAACATTTGGGGATTTATGAAATGACTTTTCATTAAAATGTTGTTTGATTAGTTTTTGTTTACATCAAACTTTATTAGTGTTTATCTGCAAATTTTCAAATCATTGTCAAGAATTACGTAAAAATACTGTTTCAGAATAATCGGCTTGAAATGGCCATGTCTGTCACTGGCAGACTGAAGTCTTAAAATTAGTCGATTAGATTAACGAAACTTCCATTTATGAGCTAGTGTTAATGCGATAAATAAGTTGAATGAAAGTTAATCAACAGATAAGACATGAAGATATAATTACAAAAAACTGTAAGAAATTAAGAAGTAGAGAAACATTGTGAAAAAGAAATTTAAGCAAAAGAAAGAAGAGTTAAAGAAAAGTAGAAAAAGAGAAAAAAGAATAGAAATGGAATAAAAAAGAAAAGCGTTAAAGAAAATAGAAAACATAAAGAAGCAAAAGATGTTATCTTGTATGATTTCTGTTGAGCATCTTGTGTACACGATGAAGTAGTGATCCATATCGGCAGGTGGTTGCATAATCTCATGTCTTCAACGGTATGTTTCTCTCTCTCTGTATATTGCTAGTATATCCCTTCCCTTTCACCACCGATGCCACTGCTACCACCAATGCAGACGTCTCCGGTTTCTTTTGATGATGGTCGCTCATCGAGTAAAGGTCTTTATACATGGCAAAGCCGATAACTGGGAACATCACAGTTTATACTATCTTCGGGTCGGGTCGAGCAATCACCAGAAGGATGTCTGGTAATCTGAAGACTGTTCCTGGCCACAAGAAAAAAAGAAAATTGCCTTTCCTCTTGAATGCAAATCGGAAGATAACGCCAACTTCATTTACTGAAATCAGGAAAATTTAGAAGTGAGAGAGAAAGATTTTGGAACAGAAAAAATCTAAATAGTGGAAATAAACACAACTGGAAAAAAAGCCTTACAAGTTGTTATAAAATTTCCTAAATTTTTGTCTAATTTAATTTTGATCTTTTTCAAAGTTTCTTTGCTTTCACCTTATAAAATGTTTTCTCCTGTATTCATTTTGTCTTTTCTTCTCAGTCGTCTCTATAACTTTTTCGGAAATATTTTCATGATTTTAATATTTTATTTCTTTCCATTATGTAATTCTTTCTTCGAACAAAAACCATCGGCAATAATTACTAACAGTTATTTAATCGAAAGTACAACACATAAACGAAGGGAATCGGTGCATAAAAAGATACGTTCAGATGTAAATGTCTGTAGATTCTTTTTCTGATAAACTATCGGTGATTAAAATAAAGGAGATTAATTAGTTGTTGATTCCCTAAAAACAATCACTTAAAGTATTAATTCTTTTTAACGCACATACACGCACACAAACATACACACAATCAAATATAATTAAGATACAGGACATTTATTCTGATTGAATTCTCAATTTCTCTTCATAATACACAATTAATATACGACAATATACACGATTCTTAACAGTCCCTTTTAATAATCATTTTATACTATTTCAGAATTTCTTATTAAATGAATTTTTTTTCTTTTTATTGACGTTGTGGGTGATTCTTGTTTGGTACACACATACATATTCACATACATGAAATCTCTCACGCAGGCATTCTCACATGAATGCACAGATATTGATGATCTATCATACACGTGATCAAAAGTAATTTCAACTATTAATAATTTTGACGCGTATTTACTGTCAACTTAAATCTTAGTTGCTTTTTTTATCAAGAAACTTTAGATAAAATTAAATACTAATCAAAATTAATAAAATTACACACATACACACATATATATATATATATCATAATATAAACAAAAACACATTAAGAGGTTTATATAGTGTTTCAACGCTTACGTTAGTTAAGAGAATAAAATGAGGACTATTTTTCAGTCTCAATGATCGCATATGATTGTCAATGGAACAACTTATACTAAATACTAGTTGTATACGCTCACTCAATATGGACCCTAACAAAAAGAATTTAATATTTGACACCGTCAGTGTTTTAACCCTTAGAACCCTTTACTTTGCATCTTTATTACTGGCGACTTGTTCATTTTTAATTTTTAGTTGGAAAATAGAATTCTAATTATTCATTAAGAAAACAACAAAAATTGATTTGTTTGACAAAAAAAACAAAAACAAAAAAAAACAAACTATTCTTCAATATGATTTTCTTTCTTGTTAATTCTATTAATACAGTAGGGAATATTAATCACTTCTTGTCCAATAGAAATTACAGAAATTTCAGCTTAAACACCTCGTCAATCTACAGTTTTATTGATCCAGTTTTGTAAGTATGATTAATAACTTTAAGTATAACTTTAATTAGAAGTAATTAAGTTTTTACTTAACTTCGTGTCATAAAATGAACAAATCAATTAAAATGTCTCAAATATACAAAGCTCAAAGTAATTGATGTTCGTAAAAATGAAATTCACATAACAAACCATGTGTGCAATGTTTTAAACATTAACTTCTTCCTCTCTTCTTAAAACTTCCTATTTGTTTACACGTTCCGTCCATGGTATTCTCAGTATCTTGTGCTTTAGATCTCTTCATCTATGGGGAAATTGTCCAGCATTCACTGCCATATAAAAGGAGTGATATTACATATAAGTTTAGCAATCTTTCTTTTGTTTCTAATGAGACTTTCCTGTTTCTTAATACTTTATTTAAATTTTGGAAGGCATCTTTTGCTGTTTCAATGCTCCTTCAGATTACGGTGTCACATTTTCCATTCTCTGTTAAAGCAAGAAAATGATTTCAAATTTTTATTTTCACAAATGAAACACTCAATACTCTTTAGCAAGTCGTGTTTTTTATGAAGATTTAAAAAGTAATCTATCCTGAAACGTTCATTTTGAGCAAATTTTATTTTTATATTGAAAGATCCTATCATTTTTAGTAGAACTCTTATGTACATTTACTGACACAGCTGTTAGGTTTTCTTTTGTAGAAATTAAATTCTGTTGATATAAATGTATTCAATTACATTTTTATTTTAATTAAAAGTTTGTTAACATAACAGTTATATAGTCATTTCTGTTGTACTACCCAAAATATTTGCCTTGGTCCAAGTCAACAATTAACTTTTTCACCACAAGTAGAAGGGCCAGATATGAGGTCTTTCAGTATATCTCTTTTTATAGTACGAGTTAAATGAAGTTGTCTAGTGATTACAAATCACCGCCTCAATTGCTATGCAGCAAACTCAATAGTAAGCTTTCGAGTAATCGGTTTGTGATATCACTTGAAGCGATCTCTCGTCTTTTCTACACTCTACTAAAAGTTTTGATAATCTTATAAAAAGAGAATAAACCATAGATTTGAAAAGATTGAATGTGGCGAGAGGAATTGTTAAAAAGAATGGAAAACTTTGTTATTGTAAATTCATTAATAAACAAGTTTACTTGATATTTATACGTCTTCACTATTTCTGCCTTTAAAAGTTATAATTGCTTTGAGATGTGAATTGCTTATTATCTGTTCATTGTTTAGCAGAAACAGATTTTTATTTGCATAACCAATAAAATACAAACAAGAGTATTTTTAATTGTTATGTTTGTTAGAATGATAAAATTCAGGATATTTTACAGACTTAGAAAGTGGATTTTTAAGCCTGTAAAATTATTTTCAGTGCTGAGATCACAGAATTTATTCGGTCAATACAGCAACTCATCCAGTCACATAATCGCTGTATTATTGCTCAATTTGGCTCAAACTTTTAACCTCTGACACCATCCATAATCCATCCATATATATATTATAATATTTTAATTTCTGCAAAAACAATAATAAAAATATTGAGAGATCGTAAGAACACTTAAACATTGCTTTGATTGGATAACATCATAAAATCCTTGTATTGAAGTGAGAGTTATTTTTGTGATCTGAATCATTAGTTTTCTAGTCAACTAATCACTGATGATAATTAATTTCATTTAATAAATAGCAGTTTTCGAAAAGTGACTTAAAGTGTACCACCGATTCTTTTTTTAAATTTTAAAGTAAAATATTGCAGTATCCAAAACTGAACATTGGAAATATTCTTTGAAGTAGTTTTAAAGCTATTTCTGTACAATAGAATTATAAGATTACATTAAATGCTATATTTATTACTCATAGTGGGAGAGACGGATATTAACAAGCTAGAACTCTGAAGCCCTATTCAAGTTATCAGCTTAGTTTATTACACACTGGACGCAGAAAAGAATTATTGACGTTCAAAACAAACTTATACAATTGGTGATTACGTTAAAATTTCAATACAGATAATTCTGCATTATCAGCATACATACGAGGAGGTGCTGAAAAGTTATTGTTCCGACCCACTTTTCAGATCTGATCAAATAACTAAACATCAGATTTTGAAATATCTCTTCTTGGTTCATTTCAGTACACTCACGTACACTTACAGTTTCAATTTCTGCGCAAAGTGTTGTTAGGCTTCACTGTAAAAGTCAATATGTGCACGTTCAGTTTCACATTATTTTGTTAAACAAAAACTAATATTAAATTAAAAAAAACTGACTTTTCAAATCTTTCTTAAAATCGCAAGCTTGCAAATGTGACCATTTACATTATTGGCTAAAAGAAGTCTGATTTGAAGTTGGAAAATGTTAGCTGAAAATAGGTCTATGATGAACTTCATGTTGGAAAATACAAGTTCAAAGCATGGTCTGACATAAGACATCCCCTCATTTCTCAGCGGTCAGTCTTGCCAAAACTAAAGTACTACACATTTACACACAAAAGCTTATTTGACACGTTTGAAGCAAATAAATATTTTGAACAATCTCATCTAAAAAGTATTGGCCATAGATATTCATTTAATCTTAGTTGCCATTTTTCTGTTTGAGCTTTGTCGCTAAAGTCTGTATTGAAGGTATCAATTGAACACAATATTTGTATACATATATTATCTACTAGGGTTGCGATAGATCCCCCCGTTCACACTCCTCCCTATATTTTGATTAGGAGTAGAGGTTTAAAATTTGTTTCCTGTTTAGGGTTGGGCCTCCGATTCTCTCTAAATTCTTTTCCTTTTCTTTCACTTCCGGTGCCCCCTCTTGCATTTTGGTGGCATTATCCCTTTTCTTGGGGTGGTGCCCCTTACTCTGTAACCCTTTACCTCCAGTGGCTCTTAAAAAATATAAGATAGAAAATAAACAGAAAAGGAAATCTGAAGCTGACAATGTAGACAGGGTGAAAAGAAAGAATATTTACAAAGAGTTTCAAATTTTAATTTTATTGAGCCGAATTTAAATCTATATCAGAACACACTCTTAGTTATATCACAATGCAACAGAATAAACCTGTGCCAAATTCCAGTTTGGATGCATGCGATGCAGAGTACTTTTTTATTTTAACTATCGGCAATAGAAAGTAATATTTCATGAATGCTTATTATATTAACATGATAAGCAATTATGAAATATATCATCTGGCTGGTCGTTCTCTTTTGTGAAAGAATATGAAAAATCTGAAACAAACAATGTCATATTATATTATATATTGTATTTTGATTTTTGATCGGTTACATTGTGTGTTTATTTTTTTAGCTGTTACTTAAAAATTTGCATGAAGATTTTATGCATTTATCAAAAGATTTTATTTGAAAGACGTTATATTTAAATGTCTATTCATAGCCGTGAAAATTAAATAAATCTTCCGATCGCCACTTCTTTGGATAAACTCATTATTATATTAACATCGGATGAAAACTATGAAACTGAAGCTTGAAGTCAAAAATA